GCTGTTCTTCTGGTTGGGCTATCCCATGAACCGGGCGTTTGGCATGTCTTTGAATTTTGTGCCACTCTTTGCCACTCTTTGTTATATTAGTTATAAATATTTTACGCTATTTTCGCATTAATTATACTCTTTTTTTGTTGGTTAGTGTATGCCGTTATGTTTTATGAGATTCATTTAGCCAGTAATCTCATCTAGAGTTTAAAATTTTTTATAAAAAAATGTGTTCATTAATTAATTTTAATAGGAAATAGTCTTATACTAAAAATCTGGTTAATAAATATGTGTACAAAATATCGATTCCTAATTTGCTACCAAATTGGGTGTAAGTTTATAACTTATAATATTCGTGTAGTTTATACATAAATACTCTCACATTCTTATTATACAGATTGTAGATTATGAAATATTTTTATACTTAAAAATTATTGTACTTATATTAATTGGATTTAATGTTTTCAACAATTTTAAAAAGCCATATGTTATATTTTGTGTTAAATCTTATGAAAAATAAGTAAAATGTTGTAATAATAATAAACAATCAAAATGACTGAATATTCTGTGCAACAAAAACATTTCATTAAAACCTATTTAATCCGGGCTACTTTATACATAACCGCTGCAATATGTATCCACGCCGTCCTTCTACACTCCTTATTGTATAGAAAAATGGACCTTGGTAGATACCAGGGCAAAACTGCCAGTGATCTGGTTGAGTATGAGGCGCGAGTCAAGTACGTGCTCCAAAACTCCATACCCGGTGTCGTATGGCTTATGATATGTGTATTGAATGTTATGGGGAGCCGATCCTTCACACCGGCTATGGATCCCACGGCTAACTACGAGCACCTGACCCTCAAAGTCAAGAATATTCTGCAAAACAGTTTCGAGCAGTTCTTCCTACTATTCATTAGCCAATTAATTGGTGTCATATATATTGAGCCCAAAATTCTGGTGAACCTAATACCGGTGCTAAACATAGCGTTCATAATGGGACGGGTATTCTTTTGGATAGGCTATCCCAGCGACCGGGCCTTTGGGTTTACGATTGGCAGCTGTCCTGTTGTGTCGTTAATCGGCTATTTGGGCTACAAATATATTAATTCATTTACATTTTAAACAATTTGTACCCGATGCTACAATTTATTTAAACTAATCGACACATTTCAATCCTTTATATTTTAATAACTATTTATTAAGGGATTTAAAAATCTAGTTTTTAAAACGTTTTTGTTAAGAAAATAACTTTATTCAAGAACTAGGATTAAAAGACAATTTATTGTAGTCGCGATCATATTGAGACAAAATTGGATTTTTATAATAATTCTCAATACATTTTAAACCCAAAGTTAATGTATTTTTTAATTAAAATATTTAAACAATGTTGTGCAAATTTGTTAATTTAATACTATTATTTGTGCGAGTATTTAAGTAATATTCCAGGTTGGTTATTAATATTACATATGTATAAAACATGTTTAAAAAATAAAGTTACAAGTATTAAAAATTTATTTTAAAAATTGTCTTTCTATATTTAGAAAAAATTTTATAATAAATTACATAATGGGAAAATGATGTATACATGCTTTTTATAATACAAATCAAATGTGGCTTTTATATATGACTGAATGAACCACGAGCAAATTATTAGTTATAATAAAATAACCAAAAATAATCAAAAAATCGTTACAAAAAACACATAATTAAGTTAGAGATTGGTTAGTAGGTTGCCGAAGCCCACCATAATAGTCGGCGCTTTTGAATACTTAGCGCCGGTAGGCAAAGGCGGTAGTTTGGAGCACTTGTCGGAGTCCTCCTCATAGTCGGTGCACATGAGGTTCAGTGTATTGCCGGCCATTGCGTTGATATACTTCTCGTAATTCTCCATTTTCTTGTCCACACAATCGGGTGACCCCTTATCCCGGGCCGCCCTCATTATACACGACTTCAGTCCGTGGAAAGCACTGTAGGGCACAGACATTGAATTGTTAATTGATTATATCACAAGTGTTAAATTTAATGATGATTATAAATTATAAATTGATTTTTGACAATTAAATAAAACTAATTAATCTGGCGATAGGGCTAAAGTGTCTAACAGCCCAACCCCTTACTAATGTAATAAGGCACAGATTAAAAAGTTGTATTACTAAGTGATAATTGAAAAATGATTAACTAATTATATTTAATGTACTGGTAATTGCAATGTTCAATGATAAACTGTTGGCATTGATTTGAAAACTATTTCAAACCTGAAATTAATTAATATACAGAGTATTTATAACTTCAAAGCACCAAACATATCAAAATCAATGGCAATACTATTAAATTGCTATAATAAAAAATAACAAAAACACATAAAATAAATAATGACTGACCAGCACGCGTGCGGCACTTTAAACTTGGACTCCATGGCGTTGGCTTTACCCAGGTTTACCAGAAAGGTGTCCATACAGGTGCTGGAGGGGTCCCTAATGGCGTTACCGCACGAGGCAAACGATAGGACTTCCTCGCGTTTGGACGCCTTGGAACAGTAGCTCTTTTGGTTGGTTTTGGCCGTAAATAGCATGACATTTGCCAACTGTTTCTGAACCCCTTTAGCACACGAGTCGGTGTAGTCTTTGGCGCATCGGATCAATGCGTTGGTCTGTTTGCAGTGTTTCTGCATTTGTTGACTCGTTTCGGGGTATTTGCGGGAATTCCGGCCCACAAACCATAGTTTGTCGGCACAGGCATCGGCTTTCTTACGGCTTTCCACATCACACTTAATCGGCTCCTTAGGCTTTTTCGATATCTTGGCTCCCAGTGCCGTATGGGCTGTCAGTATAAACATAATAGTTTTAATATTTATTTATTTTGCATTTAAAATCAAAAGTTTCTGAATAAATATTAAATTTTGTTAAAGCATTTGAAATTGCTTTTAAGTTATTTATACTAAAATACTTATTTAAAACATTTTAATATTATGCATAATATTAAAAAAGATTTAAATAAAAGCTTATAAGTTTTTATATGAGAAATATTTGATTAACCAATAGTTATATAAGACATACCAGAAAAGTATAAAAATAACAAAATACACGATAGTTTCATGACTTGACGACAATTTAATATAAAATGTATTAAAATGTATGAAAATGATAAAATTAAAAACTTTTTCTTTCAAATCAAATCAAAAGTAACTATTTTTAAGCGAAAACTTCTTCTATTTATACGAGTTTTCAAAAACACTTTTTTATAATACGAGTGAAAAAATGCTAAAATATCTCTTCACTCCCTCTTTTGTGCCAATACCTGTCCTGTGGTTGAGAGCACTGGTAGTCAAGCAGTGATTTTGTACACAATTTATTTGAATCAATGGTCACGTAATCACCTGTACATTGAGTTGTCAGCGCCTATAAGCCAAACACGTAGACCATCGACAGCCAGTATAAACATTTGTTAGACACCCAGTCCTCCAAGTCCTATACGCACCGCACATATTCGCTAATCACCGGTTTATGACATAAAAAAAAGGTTTTTAATACCAGAGAAAAAATACTTATTTTGGATTACGTATGAGATTTCGAAATATTTTTTCATTAATTAAATATTTCTTGAAATTAACGTAAAATTTGTCACAAAATTATCGGATAATTATTCCGACTTTTGAATGTCATGTAAACTGTTATTTGTCTGTATTTCCATTCTCTCTCTCTCTCTCTCTCTCTCACTCACTCACTCACTCTCTCTCCCTCGAAAATTCATGATTTCTAGTTTTTGAGTTTAAAAGTTATTTTATTAAATTTATTAGAAATTAATATTTTTATTTATTTCTTAGGGCATTATACTAGTAATTAAAAAAAATGATACAAATTTCGATTATAAAGGAAATAATAATGAAAATACAGGTGTTTTAGAAATGAAATACTCAATATAAAAAGTGAATGTTAAACATATCCATCATAATGAAAGTTATAGCACAGGTATGCCTAAGTTTCTCGACCCTCAAAAGTCTACAAATATGACAGTTCGCTAAAATTTACCCAAAATTTTGCGAAATGTATATAAAAATAAATTGATGTAAAAATCACTATTTTGTGACAAATATTTTCTCGTCAACAGATAATATTGATTTTAAACCCCTTTTGATATACTTAATGCAAACGTATTCATAATCAAAATGCATTTAAAACTAAAAATATATCAATCATCGATTTTAATATAACCAATCAAAAAACTTACATGCTAAATAAATGTATAGAAAAATATGAATGAATTATTTTTGTTTATCAATATTTTTCGTATTAAATTTTCCCATTAATTTTTGCACATATTTTGAAGGAAAGTTCAATAAAAGTTGTTTTTGTCTTATTTTTATTGTCACTGATTTGAGGAGAAATTTTGCAACTTTCCTCCCATTGATATACAGTATTATTTACTCAGTCATACAGGCCTTAGAAACTACTGGTTCCGTCACATTCGTGTGATTTCTTTGATATTTGCAAAAATTATAGTCTTTTTCTGTATTTATCGTAAGAAATAATCAAATGTATAATGAAATCCAGTCGCGATCTGTATTGCAAAGGGTATTTCAAATTGATTTCTGACCTTTGCTGCCCTACTCAAGGTCATTGCTAGGTGCAACCAGGTTTCAATATTTTGAATTATTTTTATTTAATGATTATATGATTGAGTGTAATGCCTATTATTTAGGTTTGGCTAATTATGTTTCAAAGTTAATCAGTTTTTAAAAATTTATAAATAAAATACCTTGTAACTACAATGTAATAATTGAATTTAATTGTCTAATTAAATATAGAGTGTAAAAGTATTGAATTTGTGATTGCACAATATACACTATACTTATTTTAGACTAATTCAACATTAACAATTAAAATTTTATAAATGTTACAAAGATTTTTAAGCAAGTATAATATAGGTATGATATGAATAATTAAAAATTGCAATCGTTTGTTAAATAAAAAAATCTATGAGTTAATAAATTTAATTGATTTCAAAAATGTGATAAATAGTTAATAAGTCCAATTACAAAAATTAATTAAATATTTAAATCGCTTAAACGTAAGATTCATGTGCTTTCATAACATGTGAACATAAAGTCCTTGATTTGTCTGTTCATTATATATGGGATTACATTATATTAGGAATAAAATATATCTATTGCGTTAATACCATCAAAAATGCACCTGAATATAACGTGTATAAAATTAAAATACATTATACACATTAAATAAAGTGCATTTCTTATATAAATTAAATTTCTGTGGACATTAATTGCTTTTACACAATTTTTAACTTTTAATTTATAAGAAATATTTTAAATAAAAATAAAATTCACTTATAAGTTATAACATATATAAGTAACATTATAATTTTGTAACATTTTGTAATAATCTGTTTAAGCATATATAATTCATTAGGTCTAAATAATTATTTAAAAATAAAACAAATAAAATGAAAAAATTATATAAAATGTAAAATAAGTATAAAAATTGAAAGCATAACTAATTTGAATGAATGTCGGCTTATATATTGAGTATTGATTTATGATTGATATGTCCTGTTGTTTGCTTTGAAGGACTTCTACACATTATAGGCATTTCTGTATCCAACCCCTCATGTAATCATTAATTATCATTGAGATCATCTCAATGACAGCAAATCAAATGCAAATCTAGGCATTGATTTATAATCCATTTGGTTGGGCAAAGGTAGTTTTTCACTTTTGTTTAATATTGAATCGTAAACCCATAATAAAAACAAAAATGGGTTTATTATACGCACCTAGTATAAAAAATAAGGTTTGTTAGACTTTGATCAATATTTTAATGCCCTTTGTCTTGATTCAAATGCTATAAATATATTTCATATGAATTTTGCGAAAGTATTTTATGTGTGATTGCACTACATGTCAACGTATCTCATTATGTCATTCAATTGTTATATTTTAAAGTAAACTAAATATAACATTAATATCTCATTTCACAAGTAGAGAGAGAGAGAGAGAGAGAGAGAGAGAGAGAGA